GAAGGGATTTTTCTCAAATTAAATTTTAAAGGCTCCTTTCTGCAAAGATCACACAACAAACTTCTGCCAAAATAGTGAATCTTTCAGAAAGTTTAGTATAGTAAAAACTCAAAATAGATTTAACAATGAAAACTTTTGCCACATGAAATAAGTATTGGGTGCGTTCATGGTTAAATTTCAAGGAGTGCTTGAATGCTCTTACTAGGATAGTGAATTTAGGTAAGTTTTTGCATGTCCCTGTGCTCCAAGTGAGCAAGATTCTTGATACACAGGTGTGTTTGACTGTTTGCTGCTCAGGTATTGGTTGGAATGTTAGAGGCTTACATATAACACTTTATTTTCTCTAGCTTCATGGAGGAAAGAGAGTGATGGAATGCTTGAAAAAAGCTTTAAAGATAGCAAATCAGTGCATGGATCCTTCACTCCAAGTTCAGCTTTTTATAGAAATTCTGAACAGATATATCTATTTTTATGAAAAGGAAAATGATGCGGTAAGTGAAGATCTCTTATAGAACCATAGGATTGTCTTGAAAATAGTCCTATTTTGAAGTTTGTTCCTTACATTAGACTTTATGCTCAGCTGTCCTAGTGACATGAGTTGATTGCATCCCACAACACTACTTATTTGATATTGCCTTTTCTTGGTCCTTTTGACGAAGTAGTGAATCAGTTTTGTGTATGTGAAAGATATCCCCCCCTTTTCTAAATTAATACAGTTGCCATTTGTCTCCTAGCTGCTTGGTGTGGGTTGTGGGGGAAGAGCTGTGCTGCTATGGTGTAGACTTTCCTATACTGACAGAAGGGGATTCTTGGTTGATGTAGGTAGTTGATTTCCCTGAGAGAGAGTAGCTAGATCACTGAAAGAATTCTATAGAACTCTATTCTATTTTTTTCCTTTTGTTTTACTAAGATCAGACTAACATGGCTACCTCTCTATTATTTTTCATAGTGAAGAGTAGGTTGACCTAACTACATCTACAACTAGTAGTCGACTATTGTGTCAGCTAGTGGATAAGTGTTTGCTTATTGGATAGTCGATTAGTTGCTTACATCCCTAATCCACACACACACTACCTTAATATTGGTGGTGCACATAAGAAATTTCAACCTGTCCAAGGACAGAAAATGTTAGAGGGAACATGTCATTGTACTTAATGAAAATGGATTTCAGATGCAATAAGGTATGTGATTTGGGTAAAGAGTCTGGGGTAACTTCAGCACTTGTATGTTTCCTGATAATGCTACTGTGAAATAAGATTGCAGGGGTTTATTGCCTAATTAGGTTTCAGTGGTTAATATACTTCAGAGGCTGCTTTGTATTTAACATGCCCTTCCAAGATGCACAACTTCAAAACTCAGTTTCCGAGGTCCTATTTTTTTTTCTGCGTGATATATTTGAAGTGCTTTCCTCTGCCTTGCCAAACCTGCATTGATGCTCACAGTAAATCTTGTTGAGAAAATAAATTTTCACATTTACCTATAACTATATGCTAAATAATTGTAATATAGAGATAAAGCAGTCCCTGAAGCATGTATTTATAATGGAAGCTGTTCTAATTCTAAGGTTAATAGTGCCAAGTTTATTCATTTCTATGATTTTTTTACAAAGGATTTTGAAGTATTTTAACATTGATGAATTAGTCTTTGCAGACTCACATGAGGTAAGAAGTATTGTACCTATATTAAAGATGGGTAAATGGAGGCAATAAGGATGTTGTCACACAAATTTGTGGTAGAGCTGCGAGACTACGACTCTTGTGCTCTAATTTCGCTTGGAGGCAAGTCTGTGGGTGAAAAGAACTAAGATTTGTTTAAATGTGCAGAGTTGTCATTTACAAATAGCTGTATATATATATATTTATTATAGGTGACAATTCAGGTTTTGAATCAGCTCATACAAAAGATACGAGAAGACCTTCCAAACCTTGAATCTACTGAAGAAACAGAACAAATTAACAAACATTTTCATAACACACTGGAGCACCTGCGTTTGAGGAGGGAATCACCAGAATCTGAAGGGCCAATTTACGAAGGTCTTGTTCTTTAAAGAAGATAAACTTGCACAGACATGCACACACTGTACTTATTTCTGTCCTTCCATTTACACTGTCTTTTTATTACGATAGATTTAATAGACTGTGCCTTTCAGAAATGCCAAGTTAAGTTACAATACATTTAAATGTGATGTGTTCAGTTCAGCACTTCCAAACACTTACATTTAATATGTTAGCAAATTTAAAAGGTGTTCAGATTGGACCAGCAGCTATTGATTGGATCATGAATTAGCATGACTGGACTTGTTTGTTTAAAATTGTGACATGTTAGGGCTCTTTTATTCCAAGTGCTAGCCTATCTTTTTCAGTCCATGTTCATTGTCGCTTCTGTAGCACTATGGAACTTTAATCTGGCAGTAGCTATCCATCTCAAAGTAATCTGATTTCTGTTTTTTTCTTTAATAGAACATATGATTTTGGGGGCTATTGTTGGTTGGATTCTGCTTGAGCTTTTCTTTTAGTGCAAGTTAAGTCTAAGTGTAATATTTTCCCTAAAAACTAGAATATATTAATGCATGTTTGGAGAGTTTTAAAACACCATGCTCAGAAACAAAAGTTATATTTTGCATATTAGGGCTCTGTGACATTCAGTGAGGGGCCAGTACTGTGCACAGGGCGTATTTATCGAGATAATTTTGTTCCAAATAGTATTAAAAAATAGAGAAATTGTGATCTATAGAGTATATGTATAACCATTATTGTAAATTTAGGGGAAAATGCATTACACAAGTTTATTCAGTATCCTGATTTTGCACCATCAGAACAATAAAGTTGCTATTAACTCTGGTTTTATGTCTAATGTTTGTTGGATTTAATATTTCTTACAATAAATAAATTTCTTGAATTATAGGTGGTGTCATAAAATCTAATTATCTAACTCAGATTAATGGGAGAGGGGTACATTTGGTGTTCCAGTGAATGCAGATGGATTACAAAACGGCTACCTAACATCAGAATTCAGCCAAATACTCATATGTTCACTTACTAGCATCTGGCTGAATGGTGTTGGGGCCAGTGTGTGTGTAACGAAAATTTTGAGATCTGTCATATAATAACCCCCTTAGCTCTCCATGGATCTAAAGGAAATTGCTTTCAGCCAAAACATTCCATCTAGTAAGGGATGGGAGTCTCACAAAATTGGAGCTTGCTGATCTCATTCTGCAGAAGAATTCTACCACTGAAAACAGTTGGCTAAACGCTGTGTCTTGCCTGGTCCTAACTCCGCTAAAGGACTAATAACGAATAAAACTCTATTGTATGTGTTACGTACAAATAGAAGGGAACCCGTATGGGCAATGACTATAGAAGTCCGTGTTGACATGTAAATGCTGGTGGAGAATACCTAGAAATCTGATGATCCAAGCAACTGGTTCAATACAGCACATTATATGTTATGGTGATGGTGCCTTTATTAATTGTAGTAATAGTGGATCTCTGAAAAAGATGCTGTACACTATGCTTTAACATTTGCAATAGATTCACAGTTTGCAAATTGCTAGATATGCCAGCTGAAAAGTTTACTGTTGGCATCTTTCGGTCTTTCTTTCTACGAACTATTCTGCAGATTGCTATTATGCTAGAAAGGTATAAACTTAGCTTCTCCATATCTCTAACGAGTCTCCACTCTAAAAAGTTTAGTGAGTCATCTTTTATAGTAAGTTTGTATATATGCTGGAGCCAGGATGCTGCTATGAATATTAAGGAAATCATCTATTTTATGATGCTTACACAAGTCTTTTCAATTTATTTTAATAGAAGTTTTACAAAGTAACATTTCAAAACAGTGGTTCACAGCCTGCATGTAACACAAGATGGGTCATAACAGCTGATTGTCTGCTATGTAATGGACAAATACAATTATTAACCAACTAAATTTTTGTCTGCTTTGAATGAGGAAGTGGTTGCAAAACAATGCAAAGGAAGATCAGTGTGTGTGTGTGTGTGTGTGTGTGTGTGTGTGTGTGTGTGTGTGTGTGTGTGTGTGGCAGAGATGTTCTCCTGGAAGTTAAGAAATAGCACCTTTCATAAGTTTCAGGACACACAAGTTTGAAACTGTTAAATTGGGAATCCATAAGTCGAATGTAGTAAATTCAAAATAATTTTCTAGTGTAGACACATGGCTAGACTTAAAACTTTGCAATTTAATTTAATACTAATTTTTAGTTGAAACAATGATTGTGGATAGTGATATGCATAAAAACATAAGATTGTAAGCACTGTTCATGGATTAAAAAAAGATGCCCATGTGGATTAATAGTTGAAAAATATACTTCTGTGCTACCACACATAATTGGAGCATGCCTTTATATTTCTCTGCAACTATGATCCTAATAGCCATTGTTGAAATGCCTGACTGAACAGACTGGTCACAAATGAAAAATTAAACTTAGACCCTTACTAGTTCATATTTTTCTTCCTTCTGCTGATCTCTTCCTTCAACAGTAATAAGCCCACATTAACAACATTCATATTTGGAGCAGTACACATTTCTATATATCCCTCCCTTGTTAATAGTTGTTAAACCTTCCAGTTACTTAACAAATATATTTTATTCATTTGTGATTGTTGTGAATTCATTCAGTTAACTGTTTTATAGACATGCACAGGTATAAAATAGGTAGGCTGCTGTTTTTTTTAACTATGGCATTATATACAAGCAAGACCAAGAAAGTATGGTATCATACTCTATAAAACACCATATTCTGCTCCTATATGAAACTCAGTTCAGCTGAGGGACAGACACTTGGATCATCTCTAGTGTGTAATTGTATATTTAGTAATTTGGCGGTATAATATTGCTTACACATTGATAAAATGCATGTATAACTTAGGTTAAACTTTATAAAATTTGTAAATTGAGGGATGAATCACTGAATGGATACTGTAAAATCTCGAGTATAATGCGCACTTTTTTCCGACTTTTTTTGGGTCAGTCGGGGTGCGCATTATACATAGGTGTTGGGTTTTTTTAAAGCTTTATTTTGGTAGTGCCCTGGCTCGCTGCCTGCCCAGTGCTCCTTTAGGCTGTGCCTGGAAACTTTCCCACTGCAGCGCGGTGCGGGGGTTGCTGCCCCACCAGGCTCCTGGACAAGGTGAGGAGCCGGCGGCACTGCCAGGCGGCAGTGCCCTGGTTCGCTGCCTGCCCGGTGCTCCTTCAGGCTGTACTCGGGTCCCCACAGCGTGCGCAAGCTCAGCGAGCACTAGGGAGGGAAGAGGCTGTGCAGCCAGAACCTCCAGGGTGAGCCTGCAGGTGGGAGCAGTGTGTCCCTCCCTCCCACTCTCCTGCAGCCCGGGGCCGTCTCCAGGAAGTGGATGAGGCTGGGCTTGGTGTTGGCAGATCTGCTCCTGGCTGTGGGACAGCCATCTGTTGGCAGAAGTTGTGGGGCTGCTAAGCTTGATGGCTTCAAACCCCAGGGCGCATTATAAATAGGAGTTCAGATTTTTTCATTATGCTAAGCTTCCAAAGTCGTCATACATTGGGGTGCATTATACTTGAGATTTTACAGTAAATACTGTAAATTGAATCAATTTCAAGTTAGATTTTAACTTTGATTCTTGCAGTATATTTATTGTTTGTACTTTGTGGCCTGCAGAAGTCATCTACACTCTGAGGTTACATAAAAATCCTAATATATTAACACCTGAAAGTATTAAAGGTGAAAGACTTTGGGATCTCTTATGTCACTTTTAATAGAAATGCCACTTTGCCTTTTTTGCATGTCATTCTGCTTTGAATGGAAAAACTTAGTTATTTTCTTGTTGTAGTGCTTTAGCATTGGTATCTTTCTCTGTGTATTTTAATTGATCTCTTAAGCTTACACTGACTTAAGAGTAACCAGTAGTAGTCCAAATTCATGGTCCTACACCAATCCATCATGAGTAGGTTCCTTTTAGAAGTAGTGTTTCTCTCATAAAAAGCTTGCTTTTTTTTTACATAAAAATATGGGGATGAATTTTAGCTTTACCAGGACACAGTAGTTTTATAAAAGCTTTTCTAAAACTCATGTGGCACAGTGGGTATAAAACAGGATTAATGGCTGAGTTCAGCCACAACAGCCAAAATGAAATCTCATAGAGAGAATGATGCACACATTGCCCATGACAAGCTGCTCTAATGATCATCAGAAGTGTATAAGGAGCCCAACACAAACCAAACACACAGACAATAATGGCTAAAGACTTAGCTACTCGTTTGTCCCGGGAAAGTCTAACTCTGTTTGCCATGCTGCTGGCAATATCTGTTCTCCTTGTGGTGTTGCAAACATTTTCTATAGCTTTGTAAAAACTGCCCCTCAGTTGTTTAGTCTCAACATCTACCTGTAAGGGTGGTAAATCTTGACCAACATTAAAATCTAAGGACTGGCTATCAAGTTTATGTAGGCTTAGTCTTGAACCACAGGGTCGAGAAGGTGAAAGGCTACTTGTTCTCTTTTTCTTATCGCTCTGTCTAGCAGTAGGTTTTACAAAAAATATATGCTCCCTTTTTTTCCCTTGAAAACTCATTTCACAGTCCTCTTGACCAGGGGCTAGGATTTCATTTCTTGGGGGAGTGCGCTTCCTAATGTTGATGTAAATACTTAAGTTGAAGTATGTAACACTAATGAAAGGTGTAAAGAATTCAACAGTAGAAGCAATCATTAGGAAATACCAATTGTAGAAGAATTCAGCATAGCACTCTCCTTCAGGGAGGATACTTTTTTGAGCAATATACTCCCAACTGATGATGGCTGGGCCATAGAGAAGAAAAGCTGCAATCCATACAATTATCATCTTCAATATGGCATTTCTAGTCATCCCTTTCTGAGCTCTGTAGTTCACCTAAAGCAATAAGAAAAGTAACAAATTATATGCATGCTCCCTAGAACAATTCAGTAGATTAGCTACAGTATTAAAGATTCCTTTATTTTCTTTTCTTGTTTATATTGGGTTTTTTTTTTGGGGGGGGGGGAAGAGGGGAGAAACACTTATGAAAATGAACCTTTTTTCCTACACACACTAACAAACAAAAATACCCACTATTTAGTAAAATAAACACCCTCCCAAGCAACACCTTGCTTGCTTGTGGGTGTTCAGTGGACAAAAAATTGCACTTTGTGTGGTTCCTTAAGGTTATTGTGAATTGCACAAAACATGAGTTCTGGAGGAAATGAGCCACAAAGAATGTTCTAGTAGTGCAAGTCCTCCCTTCCAGGGATTGTGCCTGCTTGTGGGATATGGTAGGAATATAGGTTGATGTCTTGATTATTATATTTGATCCTGTGGCATTAGTTAAGTAAATTACGTTTCTAACAGGAACTGAGTTAGTAGAACACCTTCATAAACACTAAACTGTCTGGAAAGTATGTAGAGTTTAATTTTGGGATGACAGGTTCTGATCACCAAAATTAGTGGATGCTGTATGTCTTCCCGCCAGGCATTATTGCAGCAGTCTCTAACCAGTAACAGGGAATATTAAAATCAATATTTTAGGAAATCTTACTGCGAGCCAAAGTCAATGACATGAAAGATAAAGAACAAACTCAGAGCTTGCACTTTGTGCGCTGCAGTCTCCGCAAAACGCTTGCTCTGAAACAACGGCTGTTTCACTGACTGCCTAACTGCTAAAAGACGTGGGGGTCAGCGATTGAGTTGTAATCCTATACTGGCTCTGGACTTGCTGTAAATGAAAGACATGCCTGCTGTGCCCGTTAATTAACAGTTGTGGTTTGCCTTTCACGGGCAAATTCTGCTGCTGCTTTGTGGCTGTGACTGTACCTCTCGTGGTCTACTCAACTCTAGTTTCTGTACCGAGTCAGACTAGCCAGGACGCGCAGCAACTCTCCCGCGACCTCTTACAGATCAGTTCCCGCTAAACTGGAGCCCCAACCCTACCGACCTCTCGCTTCGTTTGGCTGAGTCGCGCCCGGCCCCTGGAGCGCACTTGTCAGGCAGCCGGGCTGTGGACCGTGCCGACCCACCACAGTCTCAACCCCCCGCCCCCATTCTCCTGGCATGTGTGAGCGGGTCCCACCGCCGCGGCTGCAGAGCCCCAGTCCCGGCCGGGGCTGAGGCGAGCAGGCTCTGTCCCTTACCGCCTGGGTCACGGAGATGAACCTGTCGAAGCTGATCAGGACGATGTTGAAGACGGAGGCGGTGCACACCAGGTAATCCACCACCAGCCACAGCTTGCACAAGCCCTTCCCGAACTTCCACTCGCCCGTCAGCACGTAGGGGATGTAGAGGGGGATGCAGAAGCCACCTGCGGACAGAGAGCTCAGCGGGGATGAACGCGGGGCAGGCCCGCGGTGCGGGACCCAGCCTGGGTCCCTATGACCTCGGGAAAGGCGGGCTCGGGCCCTCGCTAGCCCTGCTCCCCCCCAGCAGCCCCACGAGCGCGGCCAGCAGCGCCCAGCGGGGGACTGGCC